TGCTGAACCAGAAATGAGTAAGTATTTTCCAGCCTGTAAATGGATGATGATCCACAATTCTCTCTAAAATTCAGCTTTCTGGAGCAGAGACTCTCCAAAGTTAGTGCCTCCAAGGTGTATACTAAAAATGCAGCTCCCCAGTCAGATTATTTATGAGGAGTCATCTAATCATCTAAGAATTGAAATCATCTGTCTACCAAGATTATCTTAAGACAGACTATGGACTTTTCTTTAAGAAAAAAAAATGTATATATATACACATATATGTATATATATGTATGTATATATATGTCATTGTAAAAATGCAGATTAAGAAGTATTATAGAATTTATGCATTATGTATTTTTGGTATCATCAGTTGATGAAAGGGTGACAAATGCAGTGTAACCTTATAGAGAGTTCTTCCTATTCAAAGGTTAGCTCATTTCTCTAGTGTCCAGCCCCAAATTTGGAAGCAGTGGCCTCTTAGCAACTTAATAGCTTTCCTAAGCCACCATGTCAGATATTCAGAAGGAGCCATAACGAATCATGTCAATAATTTTTGAGTTTCAAACCTTTGCTGACTAGGAGAAACAGACTAGAAAGTGGGGCGAAGGAGGAAAAGTGATATTACTGGCAGGCGTAATCATTGCAGGACATGTAACTGCCAGTCGTCTATCAAAATGTTGGTAGGCAGTTCACTGTATTTCTAGGCAATACTGTAATGAATCTTCATAATGATGAGTTTGTGGCATCAAGATTAAGTCACAACCTTCCTCTTTTTAAGGAAACAGAAATATGTTCTAATCTAGAAAGATTTCTGTAGCGACTGAAATGGTTAGAATTTTAAGAGTTTTTGGTAAGTAAGTTGGTAAGCTACAGTTATCTTGGCAAAATATCTCATCTTTCTATAATGCCAGGTAGAAGAGATCAAAGAAAGTTATAAATCACGATCTGCTTTGGTCATTTTTAGTTTACAGGAATTTTAAGAAAAGATCTTTGTCTCAGTTGTCTTTTTATTTCCAACAGTTCTTGGTACTGAATCTTATCCAGAATACAGACTATATAAATGTTTATACAATAAATGAAGCGTAAGTGTCTGTGTATTAACAGTAAAGATACACTTTTCTTTGAAAACATAAAAATGCTTCTCTTTCAAAAGAAGGCTTTAATAACAGACCAGATGTTACAGATCTTTGATAAAGTAATGCCCTCTCCTAGTTATTGTTGGGATGTCTTGTGTCACTTTTATAGAGACAGATTGTGATACCCATTCCTTTAATAAAGTTCTCTTTGGTAAACTCAGAAAACGTCCTGTGGAACCTTGTTTAGATGGCAGTGCATAACGTGCTAACTTTTTAATCTGGGCTGATGGTGGTGGGGGATTTTGCTTGATTTTGGGATTTGGGTTGTTTTTTTTTTTTTAATCTTGAAATAGCTGCTGGAAAGGATGGAATTGTCTTGGACTTCCATTCAAGAGGAGATCCAAGATCTCAGGTAGATAAAGTAGCCGTCTCATCTTTTTTTCCCCATTACATAGAAATGTGCCTTAAAATGAATATTCTAATTATTTTCATGTGTTTCACTCTGGACCATGTAAAAGAGAAACCAGAGCATCAGAGCTTATACAGTGGAGTTACAGTTCTCAGGCTTGGAAAATGAGTGTTAGCAAGATCCTTGTAGCATCGTTCTTTATGAGCAGACAGAAGCCCATTTCACTGAATGTGTTAATTAGAAGTGCCTGACCTACTTAGCTTGTTTTCGTTTTGGAGAGGCAGTAAGATTTCGTGCAAGCACTGTATTTTATATATGTATATGCATAAACACATCTGTGTGTGTGTGTGTAAGATATTATTTATACACACATACACATAATATACACACAAACATACACATACATACAAAGTAATAGTATTAGTCCCTGAGAGAAAAAGCACTGCAAACTTGTGCATGGTCAGCTGTTAGGATGTGAAGTCTACCATGTGTTTTCTTATGGGTAGCAGCCAATGCAGTGCTGTCCCAGCTTTCTACTTGTTAATAGCTCAAGATATAAAAAGCAAAAATATGTATAGCATATGGCTCTTTTTCTTCCATGGGAAAGTGAAATCAGCTGAAACTGGTTTTGTATGTAGAGTTTTACTTTATGGTGACTTGTGTGGGATGAATATATTCCTTATATTGGAAATTAAACTATTTTCCATTTATATTCTATAGCATAGAATACATAAGTGATATGTCTTCTTGTTCTCAGAGTAAAATCACAGGCCAGATTCCAGTAGTGTGGGCTAATAGAGCTAGAATGATTGGCATTCAAATCCAGGCTTTGCCATTTATTAGCTTTCTCCTACGCAAGCGTTTTTAATCTTTCTAAGCCACTGCTAACCTCGTTTACAAGATGGGCATATCTCATAGGATTGTATTGGAGATTCATTGGGGGAAATGCAATATTTCATTAAGCATATTTAATAGTTTAATTAATATTATTTCCCTTCCTTAATTCTGCCCCTTTCCCATCCCCCTGATTCTTAATTTTTATGAATACTGATTGACTACATTGATATCAGGATGAAAAAATCCAAAAAGGAAGTTCATTCCTTTAAAGCTGTATGTGTTTCTCAGTATTACTTTGGATAAGATTAATTACTATGTTAATCATAACCTTATATTTGCTGGTTAATGTTACATTGAATCTTTTTAAAGATTGCTTTGTTGAGCAAGAGAAATATGTGCTTCTGGTTTGCAGATCCCTTAATAACCACCTTTTCAATTGCAAGAATAATGTAACTAAAAAATACAGACTGATTTAGTGGAAAATTCAGATCCCTGCCAAGGCCACTTGTAAAGCTCTCTACTGGCCTGGGTGTCATTCCCTTAGTTTTAAAGAAAAGACTGAGTGGCGTGAGGGGAATATATAGCTAACTTCCCAATTCATTACATTGAAAGAGCGTGGCCTGTGGAAAAGTGGAGAGTTTTCTTTGAAAGGACTGGTAATTTGAAAAGAGGATTTATTTTCAATAGCAGAATTCATTTATGCCATTGTAAAACTTTGCTTTCTGTTCAGCAGTTTACTAAACTCTCATATGTAATAGGTGATTAATCTTTGTTCCAGAAATACAGTTCTTATTTTTAGTGAAGTACCTGTTATGGAAAACATAAAATCTTTAGAAGAAAAAATTGAGAAGTCTTCACAGAATTTCATAATGTCATGTTCTGTCATGGTTGCCTAAATCTGCAACCGAATTATCCCTTAAACTGAGTTTCTCAGATTGAAGGGAATACAAGAAAAATCCAAGTTCTCTCCTTAAAGTGCTTTTAAATAAAATTTTAAATTTATAAGGAAGCGATAAATGTTACATGTTTTACAGTTAAAACGGAGAAGAAGACGGTACAATTTAGTGACGATGTTCAGGTAGAAACGATAGAACCAGAGCCGGAACAAGCCTACATTGATGAAGTGAGTGATTTCCTGTCTGAGAGCATCATACTTTCACTATTGAAGTTGCAATGGTTTTCTTCTCTTATTTAAAAAAATTCAGTACTTGATTAATGCATGTGTTTTGTTGTTATATACCTTCAAACAATACAGACGAAGCAAAGATTCTCCTGGAAATTTCCTCCCTAGTCCCATTCTTACCATGTCAGTGCTTATAGTTGTATCTCATTATTTTAATTCCTGTTTAATATTCCATAGAATGGACTTATCATGACTTCATTATTCTGTTGTTGGACAGTTAGGTTGTTTTCAGTTCTTTGTGTGTTTTTTGCTATTACAAACACTATTATAATGAGACTTTTTGGGTATATTCAAAAGAATGTGTGACTTTTTTTTTACATCTTTATCAGATTATAATTGCTTTACAATGTTATGTATAACAAAGAGAATCAGCTATACGTATACATATATCCCCATATCCCCTCCCTCTTGAGCCTCCCTCCCACCCTCCCCATCCCACCCCTCTAGGTTGTGTGTGACTTTTATTTTTAAATGCTCTGGAAATTATATTCTTTGTAACATTTTAAACTAATGATGAAAAATGAGATGTCATCTTTAAACTATGTGAGGGGATTTGTAGGTTTTTAGCCTTTTCTTGGAGGAGCCAGAAGCGGAAGGTTTGAAGAGCGCTGTTTTAGCGAAACGGGTTGTAGAAGCTGTGCTGAGAGCCCCCAGAGAATGTCCTGGCGTCAGGGAGAGTTAGGTTTGGCTCGAGCATTCCATCGGAAAATGCATGCTAGCGGTCTGTCTAGAAACCTTATTTCTCTGATCGTAGACAATTTCAAATAGGTTGTAGAATTCTGTAAACAAAGAGAAGAGAAATAATCCATGTGTTAGTTGACTCTCACTCTCATTTTACTCCCCTCTCCTTGTTTTGGCTGTAGGCAAACTTTTCTGACATGTGCCTCCTTTTTTAGACTACGTAAAATGAAAATTGTGAATCTTTTACGTTAAAAAATAATATCCATTTCTAAATATGGAATTCTTTTGACTTCAGAAGAGTGTTTTAATATACATGTGTCATTTTCACTCTCTAGTGATTTAATTCATCTCTCAAACGCTTATCCTTCTGTACAGAGTATAGAGTTTTGTTTTGGTATAAATAACTACTTTGCTTAGAATTGGTACTCTTTAAATTATTTACCTAAGTACCTATACTCAGTAACATAACCGTGTAAAATCCATGAATGGAGAAAAGTTTGTAATTATTACAGTAATATTCTTTGGTACATGAGATCTATATTTTGGGTTTTTAAAACTTACGTATAGATACATCTCTACTAATGTAATGTATAGATGTATTTATGTAATGATGCCTTCATTAGTTCTGTTGGTCTTACAGCAAAAGATTCTGACATAGATCTGAGTCATTGCTTTGAGATGCCTTCCAGCCTTTCACATAGGAGAATAGAGAAGCCATAAATCTTCCTCCTTTTTTTGATGACAAAGTGAAGCATTGGTGGAAAGAGAATGTAGAGTAAATCCTTCTGGTGCTACTTAGAAGAACAGCTGTACCAGAGCTGAGCTGTGCCTTACTGAAACAGCTGCTGTATTCTCCCTTGTAGAGAAGTAGTAACGGAGCTGTTAGTCACAAGTACTGCCAGCTTGAGAGAGAGGTTACGCCTGTCAGCATGGCAAGACTACAGCTGCCCCTAAACAAAGTGACAAGGTAGTCCACTAGCATGACTTAAGAGATTAAAGAGCTCACATGTTGTAAGTTTAGATGCTGCTCTATTTCTTCTCATCTAAGAGAATTTCTGGTAGCCGTTTCAAAAGGGCTCTGACTTCACATGATAGTAAAGAGAATACACGGACAGTAAATACATAGAAGCGAAATTGAAGTCTTCATATCTGCGCATTACAGGATTAGCCACTATCTAACTAATGAAGTGAGAAGGTATTGTTGCATAATGATTTGTTACTTTTTATAGTAACAGTTTAATTTCTGTAGGATAAAATGGACCAACTGCTACAGATGTTGCAAAGTACGGATCCCAGTGATGATCAACCAGATCTTCCCGAGTTACTTCATCTTGAAGGTAAACCTTGTTTTCCATTTCCCTTGCAAATAAAGAATAATTAGGATTAAATCTAGTGTTCTGTTACAGAGTGGTTTTATATTTAAATAAAATTGAAAATGATATAAACAATGTTAACATTTCTGACTCTTCTGTGACCAGTCTCACGTTTATATGCAGTTTAATTGAACCTTTGGTGGAATTCAAATTCTTATACTTTTCTACCCAAATTAAATATTTTATTCAACGTTTAAAAGGTTATAAAATTAAAATTGGTATTAAAAATTTCTGAGATCAATGCAATCAATCTAAAGTATTGATTTTATAAATAGCTAGGAAAATCAGTCTTGGGTTCTGTGGGCTGAGATTAATTAATAGAATTTTTATTATTCCAAATTAGATCTTTTATTCCTTAAACTACATGAATGTCCATCAGAGAGTTGCTTTCTTTTGCTGCATTTTCTTATATTTCTTTAAATCTTGTCATCTTAGCCATGTGTCACCAGATGGGGCCTCTCATTGATGAGAAGCTGGAAGATATTGACAGGTAAAAGGACATGCGCTCCGTCTGTACTGTGTACCTTCTTCTCCACAGATCTCTCTAAACTGCATATTGGAATAGAGCTGCCTTGTATTTTATTTTATTTTCATTTTAAAGATATGCCAGTTCTCATTCACTTGTTTTCTACTTGATGTGGGAATTAAAATTAGACCCATCTGCCCCCACTCCCACTTTTAAATGAGGATTTATTTGACTTTCATTATGTTAGTCTGTTTTAAAAATAAGGGTTAACTATTATAATCATATTTGCTGTGAGCGGCATCATCAGGGCCCACACATGACCCAACATCTGTTATTAATGAGGGAAACCTGGATATTTTGAGGTAAAGTCAAGTACAATAAGCTAGAGTCCTTCCAGCACAGCACCTAAATCTGAAACAGTTTTGGTTGCCTTGGAGCTAAACTATAGGATATTTTTTTTCGTTACAAGGTTAAAGTTTTAATAATGTCTGCTTATACCACTCTTTGCCATTTTTGCTATTTTGATGCTTCTTATTATTTAGAACATTATATCATTTAAATAGCAGTTATGTGTCACATTATTGTATAATATTTCAGAAAACATTCAGAACTCTCAGAGCTCAATGTTAAAGTGATGGAGGCCCTGTCCTTGTATACCAAGTTAATGAATGAAGATCCAATGTATTCCATGTATGCAAAATTACAGAATCAGCAGTATTATATTCAGTCATCTGGTGTTTCTGGTTCTCAGGTAAGCTTTTAAAAATGCAAGTATTTCATTTTAAATTCTCAAATATATTTGAGATTATTTGGAATAGCTGTGTTTTTGTAAAACGTGAAACTTTCTAAAAGTGATGTTTGGAGTAAAAATAAAGTTAAAAAGATTTTTTCACTTGACAAATACAATGTGTAGTGTGCTAGCAATAATAATAGTTCTTGTTCTAAAAAATTATTTTTCTGCAGGGGTGCACATCAATCACTGTCAAGCTTTAAAAAAAAACAAAAAACAGATACTTTGACTCTACCCAGACCTATTGAATCCAGGCATGAGGCCCAAACATCTGTATATTTTTAAAGCTTCATATCTGATTATCTAGTTAAGAACTACAATTTTTGTCTGAGTAAAATTTCTGATTATTACTAAATTCTTGTGAGTATCTACCATTTTCAATTTTATAGTGACTTTCTTTAATCTGCATTTTTTCCATTCCTTTACATGAGCATGTGTGTAATGCACCAGAGAGCCCTTTTTCCTCTCGTCATGCCCAGCAACTATTTCAAGAGCCCATTTCCCACAAACTCACTAAGTTCAGGGTATAGGGAGTAGTTAGTCAGACACAGCATTTTATCCATGTAGGGTAGCATAAACTTTGTGCAGATGAATTTTTTTTTGACGCAGTCCACTTCTGGAGTAAGGGGCCAGAACCCTGGAGAAGAGCAGCCAGGCCTGAGAAACGTGAGGCTGGATGACACCTACCCATGAGTCTTGATGCCAGTGTGAGCCAGCAGACAAAGAGAAACCCTTCACGTTCAATTCGCAAAGTACAAACAATTGTATTTGTGAGGACTGGACTAGCTGCGTCCATAATGAAGACCTTTTGGATTCTGTGTGTAGTGAGTCTCGTGTGGCTTAACACAGCCTTCAGATGATTGTTGTTTTGTTTCCTGATGAGTGTGTTACTGTCCTAACAGCTGCTACAAGTCTCACTCCCTGGACAGTGGAGTTCTGTTTTCAAACATGTGAAATGGAAGGATCTAATGGATACTACAGAAAATTCGAATATTATGTGTGTTTAAGATTCTGGGGGCACTTAAGACTAATCTCTTTAGCTTAGAACAAGTATAGTTTTTAGGTGCAGGGATACGCAAACAATGGCACAAGGGCAAAGTCCAGGCTCCCACCTCTTTTTTAAAATAAATTTTTACTGGAACACAGCCGTTCTCATTCGTTTCTCCATCATTGCTGGCTGCTTTCTCTATGGGCAGAGCCCAGTAGTTTCAACAGAGCGCACATGGCCCACAAAGCCCGCCCCATTTACTGTCTGGGCCCTGGACAAAGAAGTCTGCTGACCTTGCTTTAGGAGGATAGCTTGCTCTATGTTCAGTAAGCTGTAACTTAGGAGATATATCTATGTGTAGATGCCTAGAAATAAATGCCGACTGTTGCTGTAATGCAGTGAATTCAAACACACTTCTTCAGCATTTGGGGGTTCATTTTAGGGAGATACAGTATCAATGTGGAAAGAGGGATTATATTAGTATAAAATTTCAAGGTAAGTTTCTTTACTGCTTCTGTACGGAGACAGACACGAGTTTAGCTAATGTTTCCCTAAAAACAAAAATCATCAGAAGCCCACTTCACTGAAAAGCACTTTTTAAAACGCCTGTCGTAAAGCAACTGTACCCCAATTAAAAATAAATAAAATCTACATTAAAAAATAAAATAAAATGCCTGTCACCGGAAGGAACTCAGAAAACCATTTCAGAGATGTAATCGTTGCTCTTTTGTAAGTGAATGCATGCCTGTTGAAATCCGAGGGACCCTAATGTGTTTTGTCTCTGACCATCCTAGGTGTACCCAGGCCCTCCTCAAAGCGGTGCCTACCTGGTCGCAGGGAGCGCGCAGCTGAGCCAGCCCCAGAGCTACAGCCTTCCCCCAGAGCAGCTGTCTTCTCTCAGCCAAGGAGCCGTGCTGCCTGCCAGCCCAGCCCTTCCTAGTCAGCAGGCTCAGGCTTCCTACCCCAAGTAATGTGATCATTGGCTCTTGTTTGCTTTTAGTGCTGTTAAAACTCTCAGGTGCCCTTGGTCATCTGTAATCATAAAAAATGGATAAGAAAAATCCAGGGTAGGTGTCATCACTGATGCCAGACGGTCAGCCCCGTCTGAGGTGGCAGGTGGGTTCTGTAGGACCCCCCTGCAGTGCTGCAGTCCTAGCCAGCATGCCAGCCCTCTGTCCTATTGAGTCCTTGAACTGCTGTATTCTGGTTTTAGCTTTGTGTTTTTTATATTCCTTCCATCATAATTTCTTTTGTTTTAATCTGAGTCTGTGATAATATTTGTTAAGAACTTCAATGTAACTTAAATTTATTTTGATAACTGTAATTTAATGCTTTACACAAATTTCACATAAAAGCTGAATGTTCCTGTGGTTATTATTTTAGAATTTATAGTTCTGGGCTGTCTCTTAAAGACAAATATTCCCTTCTTTTTACCCTGTGTGGGAATTTAGTATATATCACAGCATGATAAACCACATGAAGAGACAGTACAAGAAGCTGTACGCCCCTGTGGTTCATGGGGCGAGTAGCTGAATATGAAATGACAGACCCATTGTTCTGGTCCTTTACTTAGAATGCCCCTATCATGTAAATGATTATATTCATACATTATATCATTCATAATTTATAAATGCCTTTTCTACATCAGTGGGCATCTAAGCTGAAGTCATCACTTTGGATCGAATAGGTAGAGGCTGAAGAATTCAGTGTGTGTAACTCCAGAGGTCATGATGTTCTGACTCACGACACAAGTCTCTGGGTGGCACAGGTACAATTTCTAGGGACCTTTCCATCAATGTGGGAGTTGCCCAGGATGCTCCTATACTGCCCTCACTCTTGTATTGTTCATCCTCCAAAGAGTCACACTCTTGGGATGCTTGGGGATCGTCAAACATGATTTTGTGGTCACATCTCGTATTCTGAAGTGACCTTAAGAAGGATGGTTATGCGGAAGCCTGTTACAGGCATCAAACAGCAGCAACAAGAAAACAGCGCTCCCTACTGGGTTATATAGCTTAGGAAAAAAGTTAAGTCTAACTCTGTTTGTCCAAGGACTTCTTTTTCTTTTCTTTTCTTTATTTTTTTAAGTCTCAGTTTGGTAAAAAGCGCATACCCTTACATAGAAATTGGTAGGGAGCAACTATTAGGAGAGTAACATGCTGCTTTAAAATTAGATCAAAGTGAGTAGAGGTAGGTATTGCTGAGAAGTTAGCCAGTGTACTCGACTAGTATATATAGGAACCTCTCAGATACTTTAGTATTAGCCAGAAGTGCCACCTCTGTCCCAGCTAGTCCTCTGTTACCATGTCACATGCTGCTCTGGATGTCTCATTACTGGAGATTACTTGGGATCCATTCTTAGTTCAGAACCTTGAAGAATTATCCTTGTAAGTGAGATTCTCTGTTGGGAGGTTCTTAAACCATGATGTGCTGTAGAGCCAGAGCACCTTGTCGCTGTTTGCTGGGGGCTGCTCTGTCCTCTTCTGCCATTTGCATGCGAGACCCCCGTGCAGGACCCACGCTGTGTTCCAGGGCCTGGCTACTGATGTGCTGTAGCTGTAAATGTCACCTCTCCAGAAACACAAGTACATTTCAATAGGTGCTTTTTGCAGAGCATTTCTTTGAAACGTTTAGCCCTCTTCGCTGGGCTAATTGCTGCTTATTCTTCAGCTCTTAGCTTAGCTTCGTCGTTACTAGAAGCTTGTCTTGCCTTCCCACCTCGCCAGAACTGTTCCTCCTCTGATGCTGTCTCAGGCCCCCAGCACCTCGTGTTATCGTGTTGTCCTCTGTATCTCCACTAAACTGTCATATCTTGAGAGCTGGAGCGGCATCTTTCACCTTTAGAGCCACACTATGTAGCACAGAGTTTTACACCTGGTAGGAACTCAGTAAATATTTGATAAGTAAATGTTTTGATGGTAATTTCAAGGGCTGTGTTAGGCCAGTGAGATATATCTTTCAATTCCTTGAAAAGGCTTCACACAGGCTTTGAGGCAATTTTTTTTTTTTTTTTTTTTTTTGCGGTACGCGGGCCTCTCACTGTTGCGGCCTCTCCTGTTGCGGAGCACAGGCTCCGGACGCGCAGGCTCAGCGGCCATGGCTCACGGGCCCAGCCGCTCCGCGGCATGTGGGATCTTACCGGACCGGGCACGAACCCGTGTCCCCTGCATCGGCAGGCGGACTCTCAACCACTGCGCCACCAGGGAAGCCCAAGGAGGAATTCTTTTCCCCCCGTTTTTGGTAGGCAGGTTTTTTCATGTCCTTCAGTTTGTATCTAGGAGGCAATTTCTTATTCTTTTACATAGAATTTTGGTTTTAGGGTGGTCACTTTTCCAGACTTCTGTCACCCTAGGGTGATATTACTGATAACTGGAGATGGTGGTACTGATACAGTTTTCTAGACCTACCTGAGTGATGGTGGCCACGATGATACTAAGGTGACCAAATCTACGTACTTACTTGTCGGTTATTTCATTTTACATCTGTTAAACAGATGTTTTCTGTGTCTGAGTTTGACGTTGTAGATATAAGTGAGATCATACGGTATTTGTCCTTCTCTGTCACAGGGGCAAGGTTTCCTTCTTTCTCACGGCTGAATACTATTCATGTGTGTGTGTATCTCTATCTCTGCCTCACACCTTCTTTACCCATTTATCCCTTGACGGACCCTTAACTTTTCCCGTTTCTTGGCTATTGTGAGTAATGCTGCAATGAACATAGGAATGCAGATACCTCTTTGAGATCCTGATTTCAGTTCCTTTGGATATATGCCCAGAAGCAGCATTGCTGGATCATATGGTAGCTCTATTTTTAATTTTTTGAGGAACCTCCATACTGTTTTCCATACTGACTGTACCAACACTGCATAGATGTTCTCTTTTCTCTACATCTTCGACAGCAGTCCTTACTTCTGGTGTTTTTGATCATAGCCAGTGCAACAGGTGTGAAGTGATACCATGTGGTTTTGATTTTCTTTTTCTGGTAGATAGTGATGTTGAGCACCTTTTCATGTGCCTGTTGGCTATTTGTATGTCTTCTTTGGGAAAATGTTTATTCAGGTCCTCTGCCCATTTTTTAATCAGGTTGTTAGGTTTTTTTTTTTTTTTTTAACATCTTTATTGGAGTATAATTGCTTTACATTGTTATGTTAGCTGCTGCTGTGTAACAAAGTGAATCAGCTATATGTATACATCTATCCCCATATCCCCTCCCTCTTGTGTGTCCCTCCCACTGTCCCTATTCCACCCCTCTAGGTGGTCACAAAGCACCGAGCTGATATCCCTGTGCTATGCGGCTGCTACCCATTAGCTATCTATTTTACATTTGGTAGTGTATATATGTCCATGCTACTCTCTCACTTTGTCCCAGCTTACCCTTCCCCCACCCCATGTCCTCAAGTCCATTCTCTACATCTGTGTCTTTATTCCTGTCCTGCTCCCTAGGTTCTTCAGAACCTTTTTTTTTTTTCAGGGTTCCACATATATGTGTTAGCATACGGTATTTGTTTTTCTCTTTCTGACTTCACTCTGTATGACAGACTCTAGGTCCATGCACCTCACTACAAATAACTCAATTTCATCTCTTTATATGGCTGAGCAATATTCCATTGTATATATGTGCCACATCTTCTTTATTCATTCATTTGTCAGTGGTCACTTAGGTTGCTTCCATGTCCTGGCTATTGTAAATGGTGCTGCAATGAACATTGTGATACATGACTGTTTTTAAATTATGGTTTTCTCAGGGTATATTCCCAGGAGTGGGATTGCTGGATCATATGGTAGTTCTATTTTTAGTTTTCTAAGGAACCTCCATACTGTTCTCCATAGTGGCTGTATCAATTTACATTCCCACCAACAGTGCAAGAGGGTTCTCTTTACACGCTCTCCAGCATTTATTGTTTGCAGACTTATTGATGATGGCCATTCTGACCGGTGTGAGGTGATACCTCATTGTAGTTTTGATTTGCACTTCTCTAGTAATTAGTGATGTTGAGCATCCTTTCATGTGTTTGTTGGCAATCTGTATATCTTCTTTGGAGAAATGTCTATTTACGTCTTCTGCCCATTTTTGGATTGGGTTGTTTGTTTTTTTGATATTGAGCTGCATGAGCTGCTTATATATTTTAGAGATTAATTCTTTGTCAGTTGCTTCATTGGCAAATATTTTCTTCCATTCTGAGGGTTGTCTTTTTGTCTTGGTTATGGTTTCCTTTGCTGTGCAAAAGCTTTTAAGCTTCATTCGGTCCCATTTGTTTATTTTTGTTTTTATTTCCACTTCTCTACGAGGTGGGTCAAAAAGGATCTTGCTGTGATTTATGTCATAGAGTGTTCTGCCTATGTTTTCCTGTAAGAGTCTTATAGTGTCTAGCCTTATATTTAGGTCTTTAATCCATTTTGAGTTTATTTTTGTGTATGGTGTTAAGGAGTGTTCTACTTTCATTCTTTTACGTGTAGCTGTACAGTTTTCCCAGCACTACTTATTGAAGAGGCTGTCTTTTCTCCATTGTATATTTTTGACTCCTTTATCAAAGATAAGGTGACCATATGTGCGTGGGTTTATCTCTGGGCTTTATTTTCTGTTCCATTGATCTATATTGTGCCAGTACCATACTGCCTTGATTAATGTAGCTTTGCAGTATAGTTTGAAGTCGGGGTGCCTGATACCTGCAGCTCCGTTTTTCTTTCTCAAGGTTGCTTTGGCTCTTGGGGGCCTTTTGTGTTTCCATACAAATTGTGAAATTGTTGTTCTAGTTCTGTGAAAAATGCCAGTGGTAGTTTGATAGGGATTGCATTGAATCTTTAGATTGCTTTGGGTAGTATAGTCACTTTCACAATGTTGATTCTTCCAATCCAAGAACATGCTATATCTCTCCATCTGTTTGTATCATCTTTAATTTCTTTCATCAGTGTCTTATACTTTTCTGAGTACAGGTCTTTTGTCTCCTTAGGTAGGTTTATTCCTAGG